CTAAGAAGAAGATATTTCTTGGTCGCGATGACACATGACAGTAGAAAGGTAATGGATACATGTGCAAGACAAAAATATTCGGACCAGCACGATTAGTAACTTAAAGAACTTTGTTTTTTTTTTTAAAGGCATATAATTGAATATTTAAGAACAACGTATGACTCTTCTGAATACAAATATCATAACTTGTGGTAGAGTTCTCTGTACAAAACCCGTTTGGATAGCCGCTTCTATTTTTGCCGCAAAGCAGCATTGCTTGCATTGTCCCTACCCATGTAACAATGTCATTATAGCTATAGTTAATCTTGTTCACTCATCACTAATGTTAAATGTATACCTACTTACCCATAACATTTTGTTTAATATTATATATGTAAATGTAAACAAGGGAAACCTGTCATTACCTTTACTCTTAGCCTATATACAATGTAAAGTACGTTATGTAACGCCGTTGATTTACTTAATAAATAAATTAAAAATTAAAAATTGGCACAGAAGACTTTCCATCAGGTAAACCGTTTGTCTGTTTGCCTGTTTATACAGTCATAAAAAATCAGCATTTCTTCAACAAACGGTAAAGTTATATTATAGGTAATTATTTTATACCATATAAATAAACTAACGAATTTTGACATAATTGTTATTAGTGTGGAGTACTGTTTTAAAGTATTGCCCTTTTTTCTATGGTATGGTCCACTGATGGAGAAAAGTCCGTTTTTTGTCCTGTATTAAATAAAAAATAAAGTGTGGAAGCCATTTTTCACCTACTGTAGAAGAGTATTTCGTTTCAAAGTTCGTGTTGTCTAAGGTTTCGATATTTGTGTCAAGCAACACAAAAGTATCACGCATTTATAACCATTAAACTAATTAAATTTAGCAAATTATAGGAATTCAGATCGCGTGTGACGCAACCCTTACCGGTGGCGGACAAAACCGGGTGCCAACCTGGCTTGACTACCAGTTACACGCCGCCCTTAAATCCGGCACCACGTCGCGAACTATCTAAATACAAAACATCGATGTTCTATTTCGATGGAACGTAACATTTGAATATTGAATAACGGCATACTTTCGAATAATAGTGTTGTTCTATCGCATTTTAATCGTCGATTAATATGCAGTGTACATCGACTTTTATTTCTAATTAATTTAAATTACTAACAATAATCCAATAAGAAATTATCCTCATAAAACTTCGTTTAGTGTCCTGTTAAGTACTGAGAAAACTAAAAAAGTTCTTAGTAACGCCTAAGATTTATGCTCACGTGTTACGGTAAACCGGTTCCTAGACTATCATAAATTACAGCTACCATCACTACTGCTACGAAACTGCTACGTTGGTAATAAGCATCAGCTTAAAAGCACTCGATTTTTGATCAATTTATAGTAAGTACTTTAGTAGAAATAAGCAATTGAAAAAGAAATGTAATTCCATGTTGTTTACTTTTACTAGACGACTGTTTAACAAAATTAAGTACAATAGAAGCCAATTGAAAGTCAAATAATTGGTGAGAGTCAGAACGGCGGGAAAAATGTACCTAAATTGTACTATTTAGTACCTCTGTTTAAAAAATTTGTACCTCCATCAGAACGAAGTTATAGCAATATCAAAGGTACACCCGCCATATGGACAGTCAATACGGAGGGTGTACCTCGGATTACCAGTTTTTATTTAATAACTATAAAAACTTATTATGCCAAAAATTTGTACCTTAATAGTACTCTAAAGTAAAAGAAACTCCAGCTCGATCTGCTGGTTAGTTTCTAAGTTATAAACATGTTATAAAGCTAAAATCGTGCGATTTCAGAGTGTCATGTACATCTTAACGAATCCTAACAAATTTAGTACCAAAAACATGGACATAAATTGTACTATTTACATATTCTTAAAAAAATGTACCTCTAGCAGAACGAAATTATAGCGAATCGAAATTGTAAATATTATCGTCATTTTTTTTATAAATTTTTCGCCATTTATTTGGGTAAGCAAAGGTTCTACCATACAGCCTCTTCATATGTATCTTTCCTTGTTTTGTTGGAAAAGGTGACAAGCGCCTGTTCTTATATAGTTTATTTCATGTCATGAAGGGTTGATGCTATTTAATTGTATAGGACAGGGTAAGCGTCTATGCTTTTCAATAGGTCTTTTATTGATTTAGTACTTTTATTGGCATTAATATAATAACATATTTAAACATTCTCACTAGAATGCGTATTATATTATGTTATTATATTAATAATAAATAAATCTAGGGATGGGCGGAGAGTGACCATAATCGTTACTTTTTTATTCTTTACTTTGGTAAAAAGTCAGTTATATACCGCATTTTTTACATGGAATCATTAGAATTACTTTAAAATCCAACTTCGACTTCCGTCTTTGAGTTAGTAGTTTTGTCCTACGATTCAGTAAAACCATTTCCCGAAATCCCGAATTGGAAAAAGTAATTAATTAATTTTTGGTGGTTTTAACAACTTTATGTCGCTTCTTGTAGCTATATTGTAAACATGTACATAGTTTCAAAATTGACCAGTTGACGAAAATAGCGTATTAACGAAAAAGGCGAGTGGTCCCCTAATTCGTATCTATATATGTGTAACAACTTTTTTCGACCATTGCATGAAATAAACTATATTAAGACACGCGCTTGTAACCCTTTCAATCAAAACAAGGAACCTTTAAGAACCTTTTCCTACATAAATAAATGGCGGAAAATTTACTTTTTAAAAAACGAAATGAACGATATAACCGAAAATATTTACAATTTTTATTTCGCTTTAATTTCGTTCTCGTAGAGGTTTAATTTTTTTAAGAATATGTAGTAAATAGTACCATTTATGTCAATATTTTTGGTACTAAATTTGTCAGGATTCGTTAAGATGCACATGACACTCTAAAATCGCACGATTTTAGCTTTATAAGTCAGAAACTAACCAGCAGATCGAGCTGGAGTTTCTTTTACTTTATAGTACTATAAACATACACATTTTTGGAATAAGAAGTTTGGGTTAAAGGGGTTTACGCAGAGTGTAACTAGAGGGTCCACATTACAGAAGTTACAACATTACAAAAGTTGTTTGTTATTATGAGCAACATAACCAGCTAATACATGGCCGGAGCATTTTTGTAGCTTTTTTCTTAAATAGTTATAATGGTAATAGACGGTTATACAATAAAAATTAACCAAGTTCTACGACAAAATGTTGCTCAAAATTTAACTTCTGATAACAATTCAATAACATGGCCCCGGCGATAAAATACCGCTTAGTCATGAATCGCGTTGTTAATTAATCAAGAGTGAACTAGCGTTGAAAGAAACTCAACAGGCTGAAACAAATTTTGTTCGATCGTGTATTTAAAAAGAAACATTTCAAAATAATAGAGTTAATTCTAATAATTACTAGCTTTATAACAAATCCCTTTTCGACCATTTTCAGTAACGGACTAAAATCATAACAAGTAAATACATAATAATATCTAATAGGACCAATTGCGTTAAAGTTACAAGAAAAATCAGTCTTCACTTCACTCAGTCACTTCAGCCCACTGTCCTTTTTTCATTTTACGACAGATTACAATCTGGACAGATTCTTGGGTAGTTTTTTAATCAAAAAAAATCGGACAGATCAGATGATAACTTTTCTTAAACACTAAGAAACATGTAACCAACAAAATTACAAATTCTGAAAAATCCTATATTTCCACCGAAAACTGCATGTAAACAAAGTTACATACTATTTATTACACAACATAAAATTAATATACTATACAGTAGGTATATTATAATGTACCTATCTTATTATCTTGTTATTTAATGTAAAACACAAATTATATGTCTGGAGGAGTTTTTAAAATTATACAATGAATTTTGAACCCTCAAGCCCTTGACCTTCAAAAGAAACAAACAAAAACCAATCAAAAATATTGTTTTACAAAATCCAATGCAAATAAACTGATCGATCGCCATTTTATTTGCTTTCAGGTCCACAAACGCACGAAATCGAGTCAACACGAAAGGGTATTCATTCAATTATGAAGGCAAACCAGAATTGTGCAAACATTAGTGGGAAGGGTTGCGTGACGGCGTACGCTAACATTTAGCCGAGTGGTGTGTAATATGCCAGCTCTTTGGCAGTCATCCCAGCGACCTATGTATGTACGCACAGTCTGGGTCGGTAACTTCAGACACGCGATCCTATCGCATGACGACCCTTACTTTATAAAGAACGCAAGGAAACGACGCCCGCATTCTTCGGCCACTTGTGCGTCGAACAAATTGGCGACACGGCAGAGCTCCCGGCTCAGCCACACCGACGATCTCGAGCATTGTTTAAGGAAGTTCAGCTTCGTCGTTACTAACGAACGGTCGACATTGCGACCAACGAGCCCAATCACTCCGGATATAGAAAAATTGGACCTCTCCGATGTGGAACCCGAATCCGAGGAAAAGTTCTACCTAAAAGCCAACATTCAGCCGATATACGATTACAACACCTCCCGAAACAAGTTCGAGAGTCTTAATTTAAATTTAAATATGAAGGCGATGAAAACTAACAGAACAGCCAGATCCGATGTGAAGGAAGATAATGAGTTATCGGAACGTGTTTTACAGTGGTTGGATTTGGCTGGAAAAGTTGACCTTCTAGCACCGAATAACAATGAAAGGATGTCACAACCGCGTCACAGTTGGCCTGAGATTCAAAGAAGGAATAATTTGACGAAATCGAAAACTGTCATCGATATGCGAGCTAAGGAGAACGGTAAAATGCCAAAAGTTAGCGACAGTGCAAAAGTACAGCAAGGGCCTATCGATCGGCACGATTTTTATGTGCCGGCGTCAGCGAATACTATTGAGAACTACGCGCGACAGTCACGGAATATGAAGAACACGCCTCGGCACGATACCTCCAAAACCAAAGATATTCTCAACAAGAAAACCAAAGATATACGAAACGGCATAATCGAAGCGCGCCAAAAATTAGCTTCAGAAAGAGACGCAGTAGAAAAGCAATACACGGAATTATTAAATAAGAAACTTATTCCAGATTTAAAAGGAAAGAAGCAAGTGCACATTTTCATGCCGGAAATGCCAAAGAAATCTGGATCGAACGACACAAGCAGAACTGAGAGTTTGCTATCTCAAATTTCTCAGCGATCGCAAAAAACTAAATAAAAAAATTGTAGGTACATCTTTTCTTGTCATTTTATATCTTACGATACAAATATCTCGAGAAAAAATATTAATATAAAATAATTAGTACACTAGAAACAAAGAAGTGAACTTAACCATTGGTCGTGGTACTTATAATTTAATTTATTTGGTCATACAAGGCAGCTCAATAATTTCAGTTGTTCGTTCTTGGTTTGTACATTTTATGATTCAGTGTCTGTGATTTGTTTTATAGTTTTTGTATACTATATAACATACGTCTATGATAAATAAATGTGGAGAGTTCGCAGGTTGACTTTTAAATATACGTATATGGATAAAAGAGGTGAATCCGTATCATCTAATAAGTATTATAAGCAACTAGAAAACTACTAAAAAATTAGATTTCTTACACAAAAATAGCAATTTATTTCTTTAGGGCATACGAAATTTTGTTAGCAATTACCAACAATATATTTATACAATTGCGCTGTTAACACACTTTGTTAGATACTGTCGCCTTATATAATATCCGCCATGTTGAAAATACTGAATGCATAGGGAAGGTGGTTTAAAAAATTAAGTGTACCTGATGCACAAAACTGACGAATCGTATAGTGGACAAAGTTGTCTTCATTTTCTGTAAGCGGTCGCATATTTTTCATTTCATTTTGTTCTTCTATAGTAATTTCTATGCAGATAAGCCAAGGGCAACCAATCCTTATTAGCAACTGTGCCCTCACGGAATAAACTGTGCGGATACTCGAATACTCCCCGCGCGACTACATCTCCTCTACTCCGTACACGCAGCATCGCCGCAATGTGATCTGTTTATGACAAGGATTGCGAAAGTGACGCCCGAATGGAAGAGCAATCAGGGACATATATTCATTAGTAATTAAGTTTATATTAGTGACGTTATTTTCGTCTTTTTAATTCTTGTTTTTAATACTGTTATATTACAGTGTTTACTGAATAAATAAATAAAATAAAAGACTGGCAGAAAGATTCTTGGTATATAATACATAAGCATATGTTTGAACATTTTGCTTCTTGGGCAACTACAGCTACATCCAGTACACCGTTTCCTGCGTGTCACGGTTTAGAAGGTAAACCTGTGTTTTCGTCAATGGGCACAGTCCGTCATCAATACGTTTTAGTATTTCCAGTTCCAGCAGTTCTACCCTGGTTCAACAGTATTCGTAAATTCAGATTTTCTATGTTGATCGAATCACTGCTTACGAGATCTTGTAACTCTCTCCAAATGTTTTTATAATGTGTTATATACAGTCTATGTCCCTTACTACGTCAGTTTCTCCCGTTTTTAAATTAATGGTGAGTTCAACGTTCGTTCAAAGTTCTACCGCGTCTACTGCTCTGTCGTTACTATTGCGACCCGGTGTTACTTCTAACTCCGTCGTAAACCCTTTCTCAAATTATGCAACTGTACATAAATGTACTTCTCTCGTATCATGTAGGTTATTATTATCGTACACATTTTTAACAAACGTATATTTCGCAAGGTCTAATTTACACTCTTTAAACACTGTAACATGCAGGTTAGCTTTTGCTGTTATACTTTTTAGTTTCTCAGCGCTTCTCGGCATATTCTCTGTTGTTCCTATTGGTTTGTCCTTTTGGCTATCCATTGTGAATAGGTAAAATTAGTTGCAGCATTTATTGTTGCGTCTAAATTGTTATTGCATTGTTTGGAACAATGCAAGCATTTGATTATTTCGTCTTCTTTTCGAGAAAAGTCAAAATCACTGACTTTCGAGCATCAGCATTCGAGGGAGAAAATCTCCCGAAGAAATTGCCTAAACGTATGTCATTCCCAGTTTTGTAATATCTGATGGGGTGTTCATTTTCTGATGTCATGGACTGACATTGGGTGTTAATTCTTTGTTAGCCTTTAAACGGTATAGTCTTTATCGTCTTTTAGTTTCCTCTAGAACTTGACAGGAGGCATTTTACTTGTCTCGCTGTATGTCCAACAGGGAGCGACTTGCGCGACAACGACATAAAACGCGAGATACTGCTATTCTCATACAGTGATCTCGCCTTTTATGTCGCTCACTCGCAAGTTGCGCACAGTCGTGGTCAATTTTAGCCTTAATATCACATACTTGCTTACGTTCAGTGTACATAGGGGTGACCGAAATCTTAACAGGTTTGACCTTGAGTCACTGCTCTTTATTTATAATAATAATTATTATTATTTATGTCACTCACAAAGGCCGGTTAAGAGCTAACACATATAAGTTTAATATTCAATTATTTGCAAAAAAATCTACTTAAAGAAAAACTTAAAGATTTATGTGTGTGATTTTTATATGAGTAAGTGGTGCGTGATAATGAATGAGAGTGTAATGATTGTGAAACCTAGTTTGTAGGTGAGAAGTGAATATATGTTATAATTATGAATAAAAAAAAATTCCACCGATCCAACTGGATTCGAACCAACGTCTTCCAGCAACCCGCGCCAGACGACGGAACGAACTACCAGACCTTACGAATTTTTCTACGTGCCTGTTGCAGATCTTTGTTTTTAATTAGTTTTCATTTTTCTATCTATCCATGTGCAGAATGGTTGTTAAGTTATTAAAGCCCTGCGTGATTACATTAAGCAATCAAAAGCTCTGTGTTATTCACAAAAAAAATCACATAGGTACTGAATACAGCTGTGTAATACATATTACGTAGTAGTAGGATATTCGAATGCTTTTATACCTAAAGATCACTTTGTCACGTGAATCACGTGAATCAAAATATGGAAGCAGGTTCTAAAATATACATATTATTAAACTGCCTCCGTGGCCGAACGGTTACCATACCGGACTGCCACGCAGAGGTCCCCGGGTTCGATTCCCGGGCCGGGAGAAATATTTGTATGGCCTACATTTATTTCTCTCGTGAGTTTGGGTGTAATTTGTGGTTGTCTATGTGTGTGTCCATGGCACCCGCGACACAGGGTTTCCCTGTGCGGGGCTATGTTGAGTGTGTGCGTTATTTTATTTTTTTTATATACTATTTCTTTTAAATCCCGGATATCGGGACATGTTACGATGTTTATATTTTAAATACATGATATTTTGGTTCACTATAAATCTTGGGTTTGTAGCATCTGAACCCGGGCTTAAAGGTCTATCATGACCCCAGAAATATGACAACTAAATCTCGTGCTATGCCAGAAGTGTCAAATTTAAACTTAAACGATGATACCATGGTTTCGGCGAAAAAGATTAAAACAATATTTTCTTTTTTTAACGTCCGAATTTTTTACACTTTCAATATAGTAGAATAAAATTTAATTTAAATGTTGCAAAAAAAAATACAAATAACAAGTTTAAACGTTACTTTTGCTTTAATGTTTTAATAACTTCGTCAATCCCAGTGTCGCGTGATTTTTGTCGATATAAAAGTGCAATCCGTATTAGCGAACAACCGAAATGGAGATTAAATATGCATCAAGTTTATTACTTGTCAAATATTTAACATTTAATTTTTAACCGACTTCAAAAAAAGGAGGAGGTTCTCAATTGGACTATTTTTTTTACACGATTTCGATTATTCTTTTTTTGTTGAAAAGAGAGTACCTACCTCAGTGTTGGTTCCATTTAAATTTGAAGAAAATATTCCACCACTAAGGGTGGCAAACGATGTAACCGGCAAATAGATGTAATTCACGAACTTTTTGAGGTCGGTTTTTTTATAAGAAAGCTACAATTTTTGTAGCAATTTTGTTGTTTGCCCCGTCACTTGATATTATAAAAAAAAACAAATCACGAAATTAAATATTTCAATTTGGGTCACAGATCAAGAAATCCAGCTATATGCAGAAGTCTAAATTAACACTATATTATTATAACCGATTCTAATAAATTGAAACTTACCCCAAATCCGATAGTAGCGACATCTCGAGCCTGAAACCTAGACCGGAGAGGAGGATCGAGCGGTTGGCCGGTGTATCTTGGCACGGGTAAGCCAAGCGCTATCACGCGAAAGTTTTCGTCGACTCTTACAAGCCGCCATTTTGACACTTCTTCTGGCCCGTGCTCCTGAGGAGATGGTCAAAATAAATGATAAAGTAAGAACATTACAATACAAACTTTGCGTATTTTGTTCTTGTCATAAATATGAAGTTATGTATTAGTCGGAAGTACAGTTTTTTTCCTATAAAATTTTGATTTGAACAAGTTCTTGATTGTTTGCTAAATATGACTAACTTGGTCAGTACGTTCCGCGCTTAGTTTTCAGTAACTGATTCCAACGCAGCCTAGTTAGTTTTACAATTAGCCTTATTTCGCTGCAATTTCATTTGTTTTTCGTGACATTTCTTATTTTCCTAAAAGAAATACTATTTTTGAAAAGTCGTGAATTAATGTAAGTCCATTTATTTTTTCTGTACTGTTAGTAATTGGTATGAGAGTTCCAGTGGCCTAGCACGAGGGATGCAGATGGGGCCACGGCCCCGGGCGGTACAGCAATAGGGGCAGCGGCGAGCGCGGCCAGGCCCTAACTAAATTATTTTTTCTAAAAATTTTAAAAAATATCCACTATTTGAGAAAATGATATTCTGAACAACACAAAGATGGCGACGGCAGGCGAACATAAAACACAATAAAGCCGAGCCTGGCCGAATGAACTACTTCTGTAATCATGAAAAAAGAGGAGACAGCAAATCTAAAATTGGCCCCGGACGGTAAAAATCGACGCTACGCCGCAGTTCCAAATTATTATTTATTGGACACATAAGTAGAGTGTCTCTAACCTGCCTTAATTCTACACAAGATTTTTTCTAACAATAACAAACGCAGTTTTGTATTTTTTTTTTAATGATATTTTGCAGTTGGCCGCTGATGGCATTTACTGCGCCACCGGAGAAAAAGGGCGAGCTGAAGGCTCATAACCCCGAAAATAAACTTAAAGCCTGAGGGCGCCCAAGTGGGCACGGACCTCGGCTCAGGGCGCTACTGGAGACTTCCACCAGAAGGGCGTGCTGTAGGAGAGAATCTACCACTGTACGTGCTGAAATGAGGGGCTCGACGACCTCGCCGGCGAGGACGGTTGGTGCGTGAGGGACGGGACTGACTAGGGACCAGATCCCTTGGCCTTCAAAGTGGCGAGAGTGATAAGGTCGTCAGGGTCGTTGAGGACGTCCCTTGGCCGACGGGTCCTACGTACGCGGTGGGGTTGTTCCCTGAGGGGGTCGTAGGAGGATGCAGCCACCACGAGGGGGTTGGGGTGGTGAGGAGCAGAGTCGAAGTATTTCCTCGATGACTGTTTCATGAATTGGGCTATTGCATTTTTGTATAAAATAGACTAGACTAATAAATACCTGCAATAATTTGTCATATCTGGAAGCTGGTATCAAGAAGCGGCCATCTTCTAAATGCATCTCTCTGTTTTCCAGCAGATTATTCAACACTGGCAATACATTTCGCTCTGCCTTCTCTATGCCTTCCAGAATCAAAACTCTGCCTTCAACAGCTGCTCGAACAGCACTCTAGTGAAACAAGAAAATAAATAAATACATTTCGATGCATTGTGTATTTATCATTATTTCTGAGCGTATCGTCGACAACTCATGAAATGAATGTACTCCAGAACAACAATAATCTATAATGGTATCAAATTGACATGTCTATGTTCCTACTTCCAGATTCTTATGCATACAGATTTACATCAATTGAGTATTCAGACATTTAGTGATGTCATTAGTTTTTGCATTGCAGCTAAGGGCGCGTTCCCATTATGCCGTGACGAAAGATAGCCGTGCAGTTTAATATGTCATGGCTTGTATATTTAAATGAAGTTGTTCACACATAGACCGACCCGATTGAGTGTCGTTCACGACTTTTTTGACGTTACGACGACAGACTGTCGTAACAGTGGGAAGAGCAACAATGACAGTGGTCCGACGATAAGTAAAACGTCACGATAAAAATGTGACGACAAGCATCGCAGCTTCAAACGGCGACAAGACGGCTGCCGTGAACCGATAAATTGTCGTCGCGATCTAGTGGGAACAGCTAGACGCAACAGTCGTTCAACGATAAAATAAACGTCCACGACAGATAGTCGTGATATGGGAACTGGCTAGACGCGACAGTCGTCCAACGATAAATAAAACATTACGGCTTAATGGGAACGCGCCCTAAAGCCGTATTTAGCTTGTCACATTGGAAGTGACAACAAGAAACTGTGTCTACTGACAACAGAATTTAGCCAAGTGGCGAGTGCGCCTTGGTTGCGTTGCCATTTACTTCGTTCGCGAATAAGTTTGGCAATGATAAATGACGAAAATAACAATGACAGTTAAAGTTTTGTTAGGGTGTCTTCAAATGGCACGGCACTACACGACACAGTGGCACGGCAATCGCACGTACGTTTTCTTCACTAATTGTGACTCCCGGCAAGTCGCGCGCATGTCATGACAGTTAGTAGTGTCGCGGCTGCTGTGCCAGTACGCCTTTCTTATATTGCTACAGAAAAAGGATTTGAATTGACTTTTTAATTTGATTCCAAATTTATTAAGTGTAAAAAAACTTTGTGTATTTTTACCAATAATAAATTTTAATTTAGATAGGAAAATCGACAGTTATTTTAAATTTATTACATCACAAATGTAAACGTCAGAGTCGACACGCTAAGAAAAGAAAATTGCCGATTTTCCTTCAAACGTAAACACTTGTTATGTTGTGTTAGCATAATTAATTAAATTTTTTTAAATTTCAATTACGTCAATGCTATTATGAAACTATAGTCATAATTAGTTTACTTTAAAAAAAAAGTATTTTAAATAAGAAAAAGTTACCTGATCAAAATATTTAGCAGTAGAACTCTGAATTTCTCTCCTCTGTTTCAGATCAGCCTCCGTAGTGTCTCTTGATAAAGCAACATATTCTAACTCTCTTTGTGTCAACTCCAAGTATTGTAAAGCTACTTTTCTCCTGCAAACAGTCAACTAAGCTATCAAACAGGCGTTTCAAGTGCTTGCAGACGAAGTTCTACCTATTGTATGAGTATATAATGATATTTCCCTTATGTATTAGAATTTTCAAAAGTAGTAAGTCAACAATTAAGAAAGTATTACAAAAATATTGATTAACTCCTAAATCTAGGATATTGTATGGTTGTCAGATGTGGAATATGCCAAAAAGATCTTGTAAAGGCACTTGAAATGTGGTGTTGAAGGAAAATGGAAAGAATAAGCTGGAATGAAAAATTAAGTTTTTTACGCACTATATAGAAGACGAAACAGGAAAATATCATAGAAGGATAGTGTAAAGAAGGACGAGGCAGAGAAATACCTAGTTACATAGACTGATAAAAGGGAAAATAAATGTGGTATCACACAGGAAAGTCCTAGAAAGAGCTTACATTAGAAAGGTTTGAGAGTAACCACATGAATGAGAGCAATGTTCTTAATTAGAAGAAAAATGTACGTGTTTTCCACAAAAATTTCTTCTAACATCTGCATTTTACTAAAGACTAAGGGCGACTTCAAATTACACGCTTATAGAAGCGCTACAGTGGCGCCACTACTAATTTTCATACACTATACTACTAATTTTTATAATATCAAGTAACAGGACGAACGAACTGTCCATAACAGTTGCAGTGCCACTCAGAGCTCTAAATCGCAAAGATCCAAGGGGCACTGCCACTGCGCCCATCACCCTGAGACATAAATTAACAAGCCCCATGTACCTGTAATTTCACCCTTACCCTTCAAAACTGGAACACAGTAATGCTGACATTACGCGTGGCGACAGAAATAGGTAAGGTAGCAGTACTTCCCTGGGTGGACTCTTTCACAAGGTGCTCTACTACTACTTTGGAACCGCAGTTGCAGCGCCACTGTCGTGACACGCGCGTGCCACTTTTGCAGTCACAGTTAGTGACTGCAAAAGTTACTGAAGCGCTACAGACGCGCGGCCGTCGCGTCACTGCAGCGCGTCTAATTTGAATGCGCCCTAGGACTTCATCATTCAGCCATACGACGCCCACTGCTGGGCATAGGCCTCCCCCAACGATCTCCACGACGATCGGTCCTGCGCTGCCCGCATCCATCGGCTTCCCGCGACCTCCACCAGATCGTCGGTCCACCTGGTGGGGGGCCTACCCACTGAGCGTCGTCCGGTGCGCGGTCGCGCGGTGCGGCGGTTGAAGAACCTTTCCGCCCCAACGGCCATCGGTTCTCCTAGCTATGTGCCCCGCCCACTGCCACTTCAGCTGAGCAATTCTTCGAGCTATGTCGGTTACCTTAGTTCTCCTACGGATTTCCTCATTTCTGATTCTATCACGCAGGGAAATACCGAGCATCGCTCTCTCCATTGCCCGCTGAGTGACCTTGAGCCTTCTTATGAGGCCTATAGTGAGGGACCACGTTTCTGATCCATATGTGATCACTGGCAACACACACTGGTCAAAGACTTTCGTCTTGAGACATTGAGGTAATTTGGACGCAAAGATTTTTTGGAGTTTCCCGAACGCTGCCCATCCGAGCTGGATTCGACGAGAGATCTCTTTCTCAAAGTTGGACTTACCTAACTGGACTGTCTGCCCCAGGTATACGTAATGGTCAACAACTTCGAGTGTAATGCTCCCAATTTTTACTGGAGCGGGTACAACATGGACATTCGACATGATCTTCGTCTTGTCCATGTTCATCTTAAGACCCACTCTTTGGGAAACACTACTGAGATCTTCGAGCATTGTGTTCAGGTCTCCCAAGGTCTCAGCCATAAGAACTATATCATCGGCAAATCGAAGGTGTGTTAGGTACTCGCCATTGATGTTGATGCCAAGTCCTTTCCAGTCCAGAAGCTTGAAAATATCCTCCAACGCAGCAGTGAACATCTTTGGAGATATCACATCTCCCTGTCTCACGCCTCGTTGCAGTTGGATAGGATTAGAGCTCTGATCCTGTAATCGGACTGACATAGTGGCATTTTTGTATAAGTACCTTAACACCTCTATATACCTATAGTCTATTTGGCACCTTTGGAGAGACTGCAGCACCGCCCAGGTCTCGATCGAATCAAAGGCCTTCTCATAGTCCACAAACGCTAAGCAAAGTGGCCGGTTATACTCCTCGGTCTTCTGTATAACCTGCCGCAGCGTATGGATGTGGTCTATGGTACTAAAACCCTTTCGGAAACCGGCTTGTTCGGGAGGTTGGAAGTCGTCAAACCTGCGAGCGAGACGATTCGTGATAACTCTCGAAAACAACTTATAGATATGGCTCAGAAGCGAGATTGGCCGATAGTTCTTCAAGAGTGTTTTATCACCCTTTTTGAAGAACAGAACGACCTCGCCTCTGCCCCATGCCTTCGGCGTTTGACCTTCGACGATGACAGAATTGAAAAGCTTCTGGAGGACTTTAAGTATCGGCTTGCCACCCGCTCTCAGAAGTTCTGTAGTGATTCCATCATCGCCCGCCGCTTTGTTGTTCTTGAGTTGTTTGAGAGCCACACTAATCTCATACAGGCTGACGTCCGGGATATCTTCGGTATAATGTCGGGTAAGCTTGGCTCTGGGGTCTCTAACCTCGCTTTCAACAGGTGCTTTCGTGGAGTATAGCTGTCGATAGAAACTCTCTATCTCCCTCAGGATTTCAGGCTTAGATGAAATGATGCTACCGTCATCAGTCTTTAGCTTCGTCAGTTGGCTTTGCCCAATAGACAGATCTCTCGCGAATACCTTGGAGCCTTTGTTCCGCTCAATGGCCTCTTTAATACGCTCTGTATTAAATTGGCGTATGTCGCTAGTCAAAGACTTCGATATCTGCCTATTTAGCCGCCTGTAGTGCCTTGCATCCTCTGAGTTCTGTAGCCTCATTTCATTTCTATATTCCATGAGTTGAAGTGTTTTGTCGGAGAGTTTCTTTGTTCTGGTACGGTGGGTTTTGAAAAACTAGGACTTAGTGGACTCAAATGTATAAATCTAAACTACTTTTTACCACACAGAACCTGGCAATAACAGTTTTATGCAGTAAACATACAAGTAGATACCAATTATTAATACCTGCTAGGTCCAGGGCGTCCCAATAAAAACATATCCTGTCCAAGTAAATCCTTCTGCATCATCCATCTTAAGTTCCTTAACGTACTCTGTGATAAATATTTCAACTCTGAATTTTCTAGAGTCACTAAAACAAATAGTTAAATACAATGTTGGGTTGTGATATTATGGCATTCAAATATTAGAGCAGATACACACCGCCGTTTGTAATGTCGCGACATAGGCGCGATGCAATCGCATTGCGAATGCTATGAACGTTTCTAATTATTTAACATAAACGACGTCATCAATGCAGTCGCGCGTTTGCAACAATGCAATCACGCGTTTGCATCATCTATAAATCACAAGTGTCGCGACGTAAACGCGCATTTCACAAAAAGCTAAAATTCGCCTTGAGCAACAGCTCTATTTATCTATAAACCAATAACATACTGTGATTTATAGGCGAATGCATCGATGCAATCACGCGTTTTAATCGATGCATCTGCCTATAAATCACAAGTGTCGCGACGTAAACGCGCATTTCACAAAATGCTAAAATTCGCCATGAGCAATTGCTCTATTTATCTATAAACCAATAACATACTTTACCATTTTATCAGTAAATATTCTGAATAAGCTATGCAATAAAAGCATATTCATGACAAGCATTTTTCTTATCATTTATGATGCAAAGTTCATAGTCCACCACATTGTGAACTTTGGACTTATTGAGTCAAAATATATATTGCGTAACATATAATAATATGTTGTACCAATGAAACTTATGAAATGAAAAAAATAAATAAATAAACTTTTTTTATTTGTTAACTACACATAAGCTTAATTCAGGGGCTGGTATTTCCTTTTAGGATGGATAAGGCCTGTGTTATGAGACACTGCTCTTCTATATATAGATAGGTACAATTTGTTCTTAATTTGAATATTGTCTTCTACTAAAACTAGTATTAAAACTACTATAACTTTAACTTATTACATTATCTTGCATGTATGTCTCCTATTTTAATTATAATTAGAGATGGGAAAAACTGCTTATTTTTATAAACATTTAAATGTTGTAGCTTTTTAAAAAAGCGTGCTTTTTTAGACCCTTAAGTGCTTTTTAGTTTGAAGACTAAAAAATTGTTTAGAAAAACATTTAAGTGAATTGACTTTTATGTTAAAAAAAGCTTGCAACATTGTGTTGATAGCGAAAAGCAAAAGTAGGCCACTAAAGGTTTTAAGTTAAGTAAGTTCAATAAAGTTATATATAAATAAACTTATATATAAAACTCATGTTTGACATGAGTTTTATTTTTATTTATAAAGTTATTATTCACATTGACGAATTAATTTGTTTACGAAATATTAACGGCGAGATTTGAAACTTAGGCAAGTTGTAAAGAATTAAATTGTTGAGTATTAAACTGACCAACGCTTACGCTTAAAGTAAAAAGCGTGCTTATGTGCTTATTTTAAAAAGCAAACTTTTGAAGGTCTTTTTGTCTAAACGCCCGCCTCTATATATATAATTTAGAATATTATATTCTAAACCTAATTTTAGCGTAATAATAACATTTAAGGTTACATAAAATACGATTTTCATACAACAACTTACAGTACTTCCTTGGCACATATTCCGCCTTCCTTGGTGTCGTCAGCTCCTTAACCACATCTCCTATAGTTACTTTACCCTCGCTTGAGTAGGCTCTCACGAAATTAGCCTGTACAACAGTTTTGCGACCACTTAAAATACGTATCAAAACATCGATCCTACGAACTGTTGCCGCTGGACTATACATAATTAACTTCACTTTGTATGAATTTTATAACTAAAAGTTTAGTTTAATTTTTCAATCACACTACATAACATCGTCTAAAATTGCTCATTTGTATTAAAAAATAGTTAATAATACGATTAATCTTATAGTCCAAAGTCTAACGTCAACTTGACATTTCACAGCTGATTTGCGATCCGTTCTAAAATAAATGTTTTTGTTATGGATGCATTCTGAGACGCATTATAAAATTCTAATCGACATCTTGTTTCTCAAGATTAGACAAAGGAGACCGTGAGAGCAATTTTTAAAAATTAAACTAAAAATTAGTAGAACGCGTGCCCTCCAAACAAGACAATTGAGTTCTTGTGAATTTATAAGTTTAATGTTGAACAGTTGTGAACAATATTAAAGGGGGCATTCATTGTCCTGCATTGCAGTCCACCTTACCGTCCGCTGCTTGATGCAGAATTATGAATGTATCCGCAGCGTGCAACACATCCTGTAATCCTGCAATGAGTTTTACGAAACTCCAAACATAGGCCTTATGCGTTATTATTAGTGTGCGAGCAGTCACCTATCTGCTTGACGGACTGCCATGCAGGTAGTAAATGGGCCGTTTTAACGAAACAACGAAACAAACACTAAAAATTGATTACGTTAATGGTACAAATCACTAGAGCTACATAATTATATTTTGAGATCTGTTTATTTTTTGCAACCGAAAGACAAACGCACCGATTGCATGCAAATGCTAACGAGTGTAGTTCTTTTAGACAATTTTTTAGACTTTTAACATCATTGTTCATACAAGGTTCATACCATCAGGTCCTTGAAACTTGGCAATGTGGCAAGTTTTAAAATGTAACCGGTCAGTCTTTGTGTAAAAACAACCAATAAGAATCTAATACTAACTTTATTAAAGATACATTACAAATTTCAATCATTCAGAAGAAACATCTTACGAAGTATAATATCATTGCATCTTACTAAGTACTTAATATACATTAACAATTATAAAGTGACAAGATAGACATACAATAGCAAATTCGTATCATTTTAGAGCCCTATGCATTATTTTCATCTTCATCAAAAGGTTCGATTTTGACCGTAACAAAATCTGTAGGTTCGAGTTCTTGTTCATCATTGCTTGTACCATCATCTTTTAATCTATCATTCTCTTCTTGACTATCCTCATCACTTTCCTGGACTTTTTCTTGATTTTTTTCTTTTTTGCCTTTGGCTGTCTTTGTATTCTTGTTATTGAAAGCTTTTGCAAATATGAAGTTTTTACCAGGAGCGTTTTTATTCTTTCGAGGTCCAAATATCTTGGTGATAACTTCCTCGTCCAAATTAAGTTGACATTCCCTAGGATCCAAAGCAGTGTAGAATTCTCTGATGTTGACATTTTTTAGATTATGCCTCTTGCGCATATGCTTGAGCATGGAACGTTGAACAGCGTAGGTTTTCTTGCAGAGTTTACACTGTAACAGAATTCGAAATAGGTTTATTGATTTTTATAGCGGTATCAAGGAAGATCTAAAAAAGTGATTACGTTTTTCATTGATGATGAATTGTTTGATCAAAGTTTAAATCTGAACGTCCCAATGTCGTAGCAATATTTGTTTAGTGTCTGAAATAACGACTTGGCTAGCGAGTGCTTATTTTGAATCTCGGCAATCTCGTTTGGCTGTTATAACTGCTTCATATGCCTCTAATTCACCATTGTTTTAATTGTAACGTGTGATTATTATTATTTCCTTAATGGCGGCCACCGTATAGACTTGGACCAGTGTCCGTTTCGATGTATGTTGTCGGTTAATAATTTTTTTCCATCCCCTAAGGTTTAACATTGTACGAGTTTAGGTAGCAGCAAGGTATTTTTGGAAGTAAGGCAAAGAAATGACACAATCGACACGAATGACATACGTACCTTGAAAACACTGGTCGCACTGTGTGTCAAAACGTGAATGCGAAGGCCGGAAGTGCTACTGAGAATTTTGTTGCAAAGCGGACAGTGGTACTGGCCGCGTGTGTGCGATGTGCGCATATGGCGCAGCATGTTCCGCTCGTCTTGGTATTTGCGTTCTGTAAGGTAAAAAAATATGCATTGAAACATTTATTGAAACATATACTGCAAAAGCATAGAATATATTATACGATAAAAATATTATTTCTCATGCAAATATGTTTTTTAATTGACCACACTTCTAAAAGTAACGTACTAATTTCCGGTACTTATTTTTAGGATACAATATCTTAACATCCTCGATTATCCTTACTCTGTCGAGCTGTCCCTGCTAATTAGTATATATCTCTATTTAATGACGTCTCTATGAATTACTACATAAACGTCTTTCAATGGAAAATATATAACAGGAGTAATATGAACGAAAACCAGCTCAGTCGTCCATTAAATTCGAATGAAGTTAAAAAAGATGAAGGTACAGGAATTTTACCACATAGAGGGCACTTCACAGTAAGAATCTTGGTTTCATGGATCTTCATATGCTCACGCAATGAACACGCACTCGTGAACATCTTTGAACAAACTGTACATGTCTCCAAATCTGGAAAAAAGTTATTCAGTTAAATGTGTGTGGCTAAAATCAGAACGGCAGTTAACTAACTAGCAGTTAGCTAACTCCTAGAAACTTTATCTCGAGGGATAACCACACTAACGTGTAATCGGCTTGAGCAGGTCAGAAGAAGCTCGCGGGAGCCCTGGCGTAAGCTAGGGCGGCCGGGCGGCGTCGTGGTGAATGTTCACTGATCCCACGGCGCAGACTCAACCGGCGAGAGGGAAACCCGGGGAGGTTTTAGTGGGGTAGGCCCTCCAGCCTGGAGGGAGTCCCCACATAACCCCTGAGTCTCCCTGGGCTCAGGGGTATCCACAAAGATTTCCCCCCCGTCAAAAAAAAAAGCTTTGTCTAAAACTATGTGTTGCACATTTCGCTTTTGCACAACGTGAGTCTTTTTCGCACTTATTACAGGTACGTAATTTTTTTTCTGACCGGCTCAATGCTATTACGTAGTCGATAAATGTGGTGACTCCCTCGTACTATTTAACAGTGATATGCATGCCGCCATAGTTATACCGACAAAGTAGTCGTTTCTCTAAACATTTTCAACTTACTTTCTCCCGTATGTTTTCTAATATGATATGTTAATTTAGACTTTTGAACAAAAGTCTGACCGCAGTACACACAAGCATAGGGAGTAGTCCTTGTGTGCGTCCTGTAAGGAAATAATTTACTCTTAAATTACGTAAGTATAACATGACACTTCAGTAGTAGCGATCTTTGAAGGAGGTCACTGTCCAGCAGCAGTGGACATCTTTCGACTGAAATGATGATAATGATGAATGAGACATTTATTTTTTATTTATAATATAATAATAATAATATGATGTAACCTAAGCTTTGGATTAAGTTTTTTATGTCATAACTACGATGTGTGATACGCTTAGAGTGAGCTGGTAAAATCTATTGCTATTAAGTCATTACGTTTTGCTTCTTTATACTCGAGTTTAAAAGTTGAAAAGCAAATAATAATGGAGTAACGTTATATGAACTTGAAATAAAAAAGTGTTCTACAAGGTTCGATTTTATACCCTTTGCCTTTATTTTATATTAACTAGATGAACACGATTATAAATAATTACCTGATGTGAGAAGTACAAGCTCCCTTATCAGCAAATGTCCTTGGGCATTGTGGACACGCATAGGGTCGTTCACCAGTATGACGCCGCTCGTGACGTAACATGTTAGAACGTTGGACGAAACGCATAGGGCAGTAAGAGCAAGCATGACGCGGGCCTTCATGGATCTGGACGTGTTCGCGGTAGGAATCTTTTTTCTGTAAAAAAAAAACAATTATTGAGACAAAAGATAAAGTTCTAAACTTCAGTTGTAATCTGACTTCTCAATATAAAATGATACAGGAATATCAAAAACTAAAAAATAATTAAAAATGACATACTGCAAAAACTTTCTGGCAGTAGCTACATGTGTAGGTCTGTTTGTTAGGCAAATGTTGTTGTTTATGTATGTATAACGAAGATTTGTATTGGAACGATTTTCCACACTCAGAGCATTCATATGGGTGGTGCCCAGGGTGAGCGATCAGGTAATGGAGTTTCCTGAAATGGGAGAAATAAGTAATAAGTAATGGGATGAGTAATTTCCTGAAATGCCATACATAATTATTATTTCCACTGTTCCGAGATACTGAAGTATGTAAAAGATTGGAATGACATCAGGTACGACTTCTACAGAATGGCTGAACTCGTTAAAATAAATAGATTGGCTTAATTTCAAGCAGTTAAATGACTAGAAATAATGAGATATGAAATTTCCTTTATTTATAGAATTTAAAAAAATCACATGCTATCAATATGTTATTGGATGCCCATTTACGCCCTTGCGGGACCCACAAAGCGTTCCAACTAATTTTCGACTGCTTCATGAGAAACAAAATGTTATCCTTGTTGATCATTTAGGAAAAAATTGCTGTCGGTAGGGGCCAAGTCAGTTGATTATGGAGGGTGAAGAAGAGCTTAAATCTGCAACTCCTATAACGATGGGGATTTGTTTGGCAGAATGTGCTTTGACGTTGTCGCGTAAAAGCAGCGGTGAAGATCGGTTTTTCTGCTGAGTCTTGCCATTGTCATCACTATTCCTCACAATAGCAATTAGCTGCTACCAGATCAAAAGAATCTATGGTGGATTACTCAACCGTTGAACCACAAAACAGTTACCAACAATTTTGTGATGGTGTTTCTTTTTTAGATACTGTGTCACAGTAATGGTCACAAACTTCCATCACCAATACGTTAGTACAGTGCATTCTTCTGCGTGTTGCCTTTTGTAGTTCGGATTCGTGTGATACCTATTTTTCTAGTTTCTTTTATTTTATCAATTTGACGCAAATGGGTCAATATATATTATGGAGATTAGTGCCACACCCAAACACATATTAAAAATACACGAATTCAAGCAGTATCTACGTTTTATTTCAAAGTGAAGACAATTGATCAAAACAAAAACATGTTAATAACCCCGAAAGTATAAAAGTTGGAAACCTTAAGTTTTTAATTCACAACCTCGGTGATCCAACTGTTTACACTGTGGGCGCTGAAAGAGAAGGTCCCAATTTCGATTCCAAGTAGGATGGAAATTAAATTTTCTAATTTGGTTCTGGTCTGGATATTGAGTTATAGAGGAAGGGTATAGAGGAAGTGCCTTAGTTTGATATCAGGTAATTGGTGTGATTGTCTGGCTAATTATTATTATTAAAGTTTCTAATCAAAATTTTACACTAAAAATACTTTGTTTAATTTCAGATTGGTCAGAATTTCAAAACAACAATTTCCTACTATACCCTCTAATATAACTGCAGAAGATAAAACCTAACATATGTTGAATTTGCTAAAATGAGACACAGGCAACTCATTTGTATTTGACCTTTACATTATTTTTAATTCTATTGCATTAAAAAAAAATTTCACCTCTCATCCATAGACAGCAGCATGTCACCACAGATCTTGCAGCGGTACTTGCCAGTGCCATGAACTTTCGCCACGTGAGCAGTGCGAGATCGTGCGTTGGGAAATTCTCGGCCGCATACTGTACAGCTGCAGGTACGATTGGTGTTTAGAGTTGTATGTTGAGCCTAGAAAAAGTGAAAATTGTTATTAGTGACATCACCATGGTGCAAAAGAATTCAACTCTATATTTAGAAATGTATGACATCTAATTTATTTGTAATTTTTACGCCAGTCATTGGTGGGTACATCACTTTATCTCCATTTCAGTAGCTCTAGCGACTTGTGAAAGATTTCGTCCAGGGAAGTACTGCCACCATGCCTACATATTCCTGCCGTGAAGCAGTAATGTGAGCATTACCGCGTTCCGGTTTTAAAGGGTGAAATTGGTGAAATAACAAGCACACATTATGGAACTCATGTCTCGAGGTGAAACAGGCACAGTGTGGCAGTGCCCCTCAAATTTAAAGTTATGTGATAGGTGCATGTGTCGCTTACAACCAGGCGTTCGACTTGTTCTTGGCGCTTCACTTGCGAGCATAAAAAAAGTCCATCGTTTTATCTATCTCTATATCTGTCAGTGCTACTACAAAATTCATATTTATATTCAAATATATACTACAAAATTCATACCCTCAAATGTAACTGGAAGGACTTCTTATGACTCAGTGGCCTGTATTTACATCCATCTAAAGAACAGAAAATCTTCCTTGCTTCAGGGTGTTCAATGCCAAAATGACTTCTCATCTCTTCAACAGATCGTAACACAATACAGCATAGATAGCATTTTAGAAGGTATAAGTCTCTGGAGTTCTGCTGATGTTTTTCTAGGTAATGGTGAATAAACCATATCTAAAAAGAGTAAAAACCGTTTTTATATTTGTCACATAAGAAGGGGTGAACGATCAATTTTAGAATATTTTTTTCAACTAAGTTAATTAAAATACTTTAATAAATCATACCTTATCACTATACAATTCTGAACATTCACATTTATAATACTGTTCTTTATGCTTCTGAAAATGTACCCTTATCTGATGGTTTTCTCTGTGATCCTCATTCCAAAACAAAGTTGGACAGTATCTACATTTAAAGCCCAAATGAGGACTAAAACAGTTATCGTACTCTACAGTCTCCCAATGATCAGTCATATGACGCCTGGTTGCTTCTCTATTGTCAAATTCTTTGTCACAAAATTGACAAATCCATAAATCCTCAAATTCACCTAATTCCTCTGAAGTATGAGTGTCCAGCTCATGTTGATTATCAAAAGTAGTTGCACAAACTCTACAGCAAAATACTGGGACAAATTTTACACAATGCACTTTCTGCATATGCGTTGAAAAATCTTGAAGCGTGTTTTGCTTCGCATCGCAAAGTGAACAATGCATTTCTTTAGCAACATCAGATGCCTTGTCATAGTGAATATATGAGTTCTCGGGCATTATTTTTGCTTTCATATCAGTTGTCATTCCATTTATATACTCAAAATAGCATTGCTCTGGAATTATCATTTCCATTAGTGTAACATCAAAGTCTTCATCGCCCTTGTAAGCTCTGATTATGTCTAATTGCCTCTTGACTTCATTTGGGTCAAGTTTATTTCCATCTCTATCATACTCACAGCTTGCATCATAACAGTCATCAGACTTATCTCCTTTCTTATCATCAGTGGAACTTTTTTCACCTTCACCATCACTCAAATTCTCTTGTTTAATTTCGGTTGCATTCAGTAAATCAAGGTCTCGTTTATTTTGCTCCTGAGTTTCATTTATCATAGATTTATCCAGGTCTACATAGCCATATTTTCTTTGTTCTTTTAAGCTTTCGAGAAACTGTTGACTAACTTCAACTCCAGAGACTGAAAATGGAGGATCATTCCCAGAAATTATACTAGCAAAACATTTTAAAGTAAAATGGTGGATACCCATATAGTGGTTGAAGAATTCTGACCTCAGATTATCTGATTTAGAACAGAGAAGGCAACGGAAAATTTTTATGCCTTCATTTTCAATTCCCCAAAATACTTCTTCATTTTTATATGTAACATTTGATACATTGTGTTTTTGGAACAAATGTGTGTCATACTGATCGGCAGGCACTCTGAAGTGGCATAATCGACAATGAACTAGATTATGAGCATTGCTAAAATGTTGACGAAGTTCTGTCTCAGTTGAGAAATTTTGACCACATTGAGAACAAGGCCATGGCGTATGAAATTTTAAGTGTGCTTGCCACGCTTCTCTGTCTGGCACAAAATACCTGGAAGTTATCAAATACATATTTTATATAAATAGGCTCAAGCACCAAAGACATACAAAAAACTGAGCATTTCTTAAATCTTTCTTAACCCCTTTCAAATCAATGTATAAGTATGGAATAGTAGCAGTGACTGCATTAACTGGTATAAAAAAATAAAATTTTGCTACATTATCTCAACGCTCAGTACAGCACAATCTGTTAAATTCAATACGAAACCATGTTGAATGATTAAATTCCTTCTTGTCGTCAATAGATGGGGTTAATCGAGCACAAATCTTATTTTATGGATCATATGGCCTGAAATAAATTACTAAATAAATAAATAAAATAAATATTTTATTAGGAGTGTTTTTCCTTTATGAGTTCAATTGTGAGATCATAGTTGTTTTTTATGTTATAGGTGCTACAAATAAAGGTCCCATAATTTCTATAAGAGGTCTTTCAGAAATTATGGGATTACCAGAAGAATTAATTTATAGCATTCTGAATATTATTATTGCCTAATATACTATTTAAGATAGTACAAATTATTTAGCAAGGTACAAAATATAATTTTATATAACAAAATGTACTAATTCAATAAATCACCCCCAACAACACCTGGCAAGTTAATATTATGACAACCTGCCATTGACTTACAAATAAATGGACTACGGGTCTAATACAAAAACCACGAATAAAATGTCCCAAGTCAACCTATTTAAATGTAGTGACATTTAAAGGAATATGAAAAAGCTAAAACGTTGAATTCAAATTGTAATGTCATCGCAGTACTGTCTAATTTTGCTTGCTTCGCTGTCAGTTGAACAAACAAAGACTAGAGCGTGAATGACGCTCTGTATACGATTTTAACGCCCTATAAGTTCGGACACTTTTTAGCGCGGACCCGACGTCCATATAATTGTAAGTCAATGCTACCTGCCTACTAATTAAGTGTTGAGTAGATACAAAGCTTTTTCAACTTGGCATAATTTGGTTTTGACTTTTTCCAGTATTACAAATAACAAAACTGAACTTATCGCCTTTGTTTTTGGTGCAATTTCCATTAGTTACCTTACTCACCTGCATACTCCACAGAAATCTTTTTTATGATTTAGTACATAGTGGATTATCAACTTCCCGCGACTAACAAACCATTCGGAGCACAACAAACAGCTGTATGGGCCGAAAGGATTCAAATCTTTTAGATACAACCACACATCTGATGGACGCTGGACGACCAATGCGGACTGGTCCTTAAGTTTCGGACCCAGTGTGAAGGTTATAGGCAGTTTCTTTAATGGATATTGCTTCACTTTTCTCTTCTTAGACTTAGGTCCAGATACAATCTCAATTTCAGTCGTGTCTGGCACAAAATCGATAAGAAATTTCTCAGGATTCTCCTTCTTAGCAGCCGCCAAAATAGATAATGGCTCATCATCCGACTCTTCCCCAGACATTTCGAAAGAATATTTTTAATTATTTAAATTTTTGGAAAGCTATTCTACACAACTATGCGACAAAATAAAAATAAATGCTCTAAATATACTTCAACTTCAACTTTTATGTCTATGGCTCCGTCGTTTTGCGCGACGATTTTGCCAATGTCAGGGTTGAGAGACATGTGTAGCGGTAGTGAGACAGATTGCCGGTTATTAAAATACTTCGGCGGTTTTTATTCACAATGACGGTTATATATATATTTTAATGACATTACAAAAATATAATTTGAGAGCTCATGTTATTTTCTTTCTTTTAGAAACGTTGTAGGAAGTTTTATTTAGCGGGAAATAAATAAAATCGTTTAGTAAAACAAAGTTAGGCGTCGTTTTCGTTCAATAACAAACTTTTGACCGGTGTCAGCGTGGAAAATTATCATGGAGGATGGAGAAAGAAATAAAATTATACGAAAGAAAATGGGAGAATACGGGACGAATAAAGAATATTCATTTTTCATTTACGTAAATGTTTTGTAAACAAATGTCTTCGTTATTAGATTGACAAAATAAGTAAATAAAAATTATATGAAAAGATTTTGTGTATTATTTTATTATTTAGTAACAAATTTATATTTCTCGTGTAGTAAATTGTATTGTTATTCTAACTTTCTAATGTAATTGATTGTTAAAACTGCATAAAATGGATTTAATCAAGAAAGTGTCCTCTCGTGGCAGCCATTTTGATAGAACCGAGTTCGTCTATGGTGCAATCCAAAGAAAGGCGAAGCTAAACAAAAGGATAGCATGTAGATAGCATTTATTGAAATATTAGTAAAATATGCGTAAATATTGAGTCAAGATGCTTGTTTTCAAGATAAAGTAAAGTGAACTTAGTAATAACAATGCCAGTGTACCATAAAACATCATAAAATGAAGCACAGTGCATCGTGTAATGGTGGCCATTAGGGGTAATAATTATGTATATTGGCATACTTAATGCTTCACGGACCATCAAAGATACATCTAAAAAGAGACTTCGAGACGTTTTCTCGGTGTTGAGTGCACAATATGTGAACTGAGGATGTTTCGTGATATGTGAGTGTGACAAGGTGGTCCAGTCCAGTGTAAATAATCTTTTGCACCCGAATCATGGCCCAGAACCAAGGGGAGGTTCAAGTGGGAACACCGAGCCAACCCGTGAAAGATAAAGATATTTATGCGTTGTTGCCTGATATGCGATTGAATGGTCCGCTTGGACCAGATGAATCTTGCCCTGGTGGTGAAGAACTACGTTGGTTACCCGCTCAAGCGACTGACCGCGACCTGGTAATGTACTTGCGCGCCGCGCGCTCTATGGCTGCGTTTGCTGGCATGTGCGACGGAGGCTCACCTGACGACGGTTGTGTTGCTGCGAGTCGCGACGATACTACTATTAACGCTCTTGACGTCCTTCACGATTCAGGCTACGACCCTGGTCGCGCCCTACAAGCCCTAGTCAAGTGCCCCGTTCCAAAAGGAATAGAAAAAAAGTGGTCTGAGGAAGAGATTAAACGATTTGTTAAAGGTATTCGTCAATTTGGTAAGAATTTTTTTAAAATAAAAAAAGATTTATTACCCCACAAAGACACTTCGGAATTAGTAGAGTTCTACTACTTGTGGAAAAAGACACCTGGTGCTAGTAGTAACAGGCCACATAGAAGAAGACGACAAACATCATTGCGGCGTGTTCGTAATACGAGAAATTCGCGCGCGGGCACACCTAAAGAACAGACTCCTGAAGCTACTCCAACAGTGCCTGAAACTAACGGTTCTAGACCACCAAATCTTAAAGAGGCTGGAGAAATGAGTTCTGTTACTGAAGATGAAAATTCTGAAGAGGATAGCGACTCCAGAGACGCAGGTGATCTTGCTAAAGCAGACACTGGTAGGACAGGTGACAATCCTGAAGATTCTCCCAGCAGAATGAGAACTAGAAATAAGTCTAAAGAACAAACCACACCTAATGGTAAAAAAGGACAAGATGAAAGTGATAATGACTCAAAATTGAAAGCAAAGCCTAGCAAACCAAATGCACAAAGTACAAACAATAATATTGCAGATAAAGTTCTCTCATCCCCTGGTGGAAAAGATGCTAAAAAGAAAGTTACAAATGGCAAAGTTGATGTGTCAAAGGTAAAGAAACGACTTCCGGACGATTCTAAGAATGATGGCATTATGGATGGTGATGTCCAATTGAAGAAGAAAAAGCCTGTGGAACCTCCTGACAGCCCTGCAGAGAGTCTAACAAACGATAGTTTTTCTGCAATGGACGAAACTGAAACTGCTGAACCTGAGCCAGAAGTTTGTGATTTCAGCTTTAATAAGACTGATAAAGAGAACAGTGAACAAATCAAAGAACCTGAACTGGAACAGCCACCTAAACTTATAGAGTCACATGTAAAAACAGAATGCAATCCCGAGTCTAGTACCAAAGCTGAAAAGGATACCATCGCTCCAGTTTTCAAAGTTGCAAGTGAAAAAGATGATAGAGGTGTTCTAGATTTGAAAGCAGAAACAGTCACTCCTAAAAGTACAGATAATATTGAGCCTAGACCACACACAATTCAAAATGCAATATTCCCAAAAACAGAACTTATTATTCCAAAAGTTACACCTATGTCCACTGAAAACATAGAGAAAATCAAAATAAAAGAAGAAATAGACACCGAGGAGCAAACCTTAAATATGCAAAAGAATGAATTTTTGAAAGACCCTCTATCACACAATTTCCCTGGACATCCCATTAATTCATCAAAGCCGCTTAATTTAGAAAACACTAACTTCTTTGTCAAAGACAGTCACATCTACAATCCAGGGATAAAACACAGCATTAAAATTGAGGGTGTGCCAAATAATATATTCAATCCTATGAATATTACAAAGGATAATTCTATCATAAGAAGTGCAAAAGATTTTCCAGGGGGAATGCCACCGTTTTCGTATCCACCTAACATTAATTTTGCTGGTGATCCTAATAAACATAACCCATTGATAAACCCTTTGAAAACTGTTATTAAATTAGAGCCTAGAGATGAAGCCAGCGATATGAAGAATCAAAATACACCAGAAATCTTTACAGCTACAATATCTACAGGTAGTAAAGTTGATTCTCCTAATGCTCCACGGTTAGACACACTGCAGAGGATCAGTCCATCTCCAACAAATACACGTGGTTTGTCACCACCGCCCATGGAACATTCTTCGGCAACAGCAACAGAACCTATTTCTCCCGCTAACTCGCAAGAAAAGGAAGCTGACTCTGAAGACAAACAAACACAACCTACAGACTTAAAATCTCAGCCACTGCCTAAATTAGATGGTCAGAATGGTGGTCTGAGACCACCTATTTTCCCATCACCAATACGCCCTGAAAATCTCGGTGTTAGAGCGACAGAAGCGCCTAGTACCACAGGCTCAGGACAAACCATGCCCCCTCCGCCACTCAGTCAACCTTCAATTGCAGGGCTTCTACCACCAGGGCCCTTAATATCTGTAGGAGGTGGATCTGCAGTTGGACCCTATGGATTTATGCCTACTTCACTATATGGACACCCTGGTCACCCAGGTCTAGAAAAGCCTGGTTCATTACCACCGTTGATACAACAAGTACCACCAACACATGGTCTACCGGGCAGTAGTTTGATTCCACCACCATCTAATCAAAATGATCCATCTATGCCACAAGACCTGAAAATCAAACAAGAAGTTCCAGATAGCATGCCAGCTAACCTCTCCACTCAGAATTCATCTGACCCTCTACAATCTCTCAAAGAAGTGAAAGTACAAGGATATCCTATTGGTAGTGCAATAGCACAGCATTTAAGCTCTGAAAGAGACAGAGAATCAATGTCAAGTGTTGAAAATAATAGCAGACCTCCCAGTCAACCAACAAATGAAAACTCAAATATATCAAGTGCATTCCTCGGACCAAGAATAGATAGTATTAAGAAAGAGCCTGATTTTATTCACCAGCCCCATCTCCCTCCTGTGTCTACGAGTCAAGTCAGTGGTGCAGATACTACATGTACAGCTCCACCAGTGAAGAGTCCACATACTCCTACTCCAATTAAAAGTCAACCAAGCAGTACACCAGGACATGGATCACATCCGTCAGCAACTACTTCTCCTTTCACAAGGCATCTAAACAGCCCGTCACAACCAAGACAAATATCAGCTTCACCTGTGCAGCCTAATACCCCTGTGTCTCATTCGGCTCTGAATCTGATGAATCCGACGCCACTCTCCATACCCGTTTCTTTGTCGGGACCTCTGCCTGGTCAACAACATGGACATCCGCCTCCACATCCATTTGCCTCTCCTCTTCACCATCCTCATCATCCGTTGTTGCATCCCTCAATATTTCAGCTTTCAGCTGCAGCTGCAGCTCATGCAATGCACCCTTATTATCCACATCCTCATCCAGGCTATTCAATGCCTTATCCATATCCATATGGTCCATTACCACAGCCACATCCCATACCACCCATGCATCCGGGATCAAGCACACCTGGAAGGCACGACCCAGTGAAACCATCTACAATTGAATCGACAACCATGCTCAGCTCTCACCACAGTACCAGTTCTTCTGTCACTACTAGATCTCTTAGAGAAATATCTGAAAGTTCGGAAGATCCAAGAAATCCGAATGCTACAACTGAAAGACACCAATTGCACGAAACCACTATGACACACCACCACTCGACGAGTCATCATAGTGCAGTACATACAAGTACAGAGAAGCAACCTAATCACGCCGGTGGCGGAACGAATCATACGCTATCTATTTCCCACTCGACTTCTAGTAGCTCATCTCAGTCTATCCAGCACAAGATAAACACCCAACAGAAAACGAGTTCTCATTCAAGTTCTCCTCATCATCTATCAGCAAGTGTGTCCCAAACGACTTCATCGTCAGTCAATGTAACCAATAATCATACTCATCATCACTCGCATCACCTAGCCCACCATCCAGAGCGGTTATCACCTGCAGATTCTATGCTTTTACGGCATCATCCAAAAATGCTTCCTGGTAATCCAAGTCATCTTATGATCCAGCCTCCTTCAATGGGTCATCCAATGGGCTTGGGACTACCGCCTGGTCCGGGACCGAGTTCTATCGAAAGTTTGCGATTACATGCGCAAGCCGCGGCTGGATTGCAACAAAGTCATCAAAGATCTGGATCACCACATCAAATACCACATGGCCATCCGCACTTGCGAGCGCCACAAAGACCAATACCTGATGAAAATCCTGAGTTAAAACTTGAAACGCAATCACAGCCAGAAGAAGAAGAAATACCGAGCCCAGCGCACATACCTCATGGACCAAGTCCTGAACCGAAAATTGAAGACAGTGAGTGTCACAGATCACAATCTGCTATTTTCTTACGGCACTGGAATCGCGGGGATTACAACTCGTGTACGAGAACTGATCTCATCTTCAAACCAGTGCCTGAATCAAAACTTGCTCGCAAACGGGAAGAACGTTTGAGAAAACAAGCTGAGAGAGATAGAGAGGAAAGAGAAAAGATAGCACAACAAGCCCACAGAAAAATTTCAACACCAGAAAAACCAGAAACAAAACCACCATCGAGAGGAGCTATTGAAACAATAACTTCTCCTTATGACCGATTTCCACGGCCACCAGGCTACCCTGATACGCCTGCACTACGGCAGCTCTCGGAGTACGCTAGACCTCATGCTGGCTTCAGTCCAGGTAATCTACCTCGGCACTGTATGGATCCGATGCTACAGTATCAACTGAGTTCAATGTACGGCGCAGCTGGAGCTAGGGAACGACTCGAACTTGAACACTTAGAAAGAGAAAAACGTGACAGAGAGATAAGGGAACTACGAGAACGAGAACTGAACGACAGATTAAAAGAGGAATTGCTTAAAAATAACGTTGGTCCTCGAGCTCTCGACCCGCATTGGTTGGAAATGCATAGAAGGTACGGAATGCCGCCCCCACCGCCACAAGGTGCAATACCTGTACAATTCGGATTGTATCCTCCTGGTCATGGGCCACTATCATCACAACTGGAACGCGAACGATTGGAGAGGCTCGGCATTCCACCAGCTTCGGCTCCCGGCCAGCCACCTAACGTACCAGTGTCCGGCGCAGGTCCTCATCATCCACACCATCCCCACCCAGGCGTAGCAGCCGCTCAGCTTGAAGCGGCCGAAAGACTCGCGCTTGCAGCTGACCCTATGGTGCGGTTACAGATGGCAGGCATAAACCCTGAATATCATGCGCACACGCACGCGCATACTCATGCTCACTCGCATACACACTTGCACTTGCATCCCGGACAACAAGCTGCAGCGCAAGCGCAACAAGAAGCCTTGGGACTGGGGCTGGGAGCTAGTGCACCATATCGGCCTTTGCCCCATCCGGATCTATTGGGTAGGCCTTATGCAGAACAGTTAGCGCATCAAGCTGCCGCACATGAACAGTTTCAACGACAGCTGTTGTTGGAGCGTGAGCGAGGATTTTTACACCCAGCGCATCACGAAGAGTTCCTGCGACAACAGCGTGAGCGCGAGTTGAAGGTCCGCGCACTGGAAGAGGCAGCGCGGGCTTCGCGCCCGTAGTTGTCCCCCGCGGCCCGACGCGCCCCGCCCGACGACTCTGTCGTGCTTGTGGAATGACGTGTTTGTGAAGTGCAATGTGCTAACGGTGCCGCGACTCCTGAACCTAAACTTTGACCGAAATGGTTGTAAAATACCTAAAAAAATTATAAAGTGTTCGCCAGATATTTTTAAAGTGGAGAACGTAGAATTACAACTTTTTCATAATATTATTGTGTGACGATACGATATCTGTAATTTATATTTATAACTTAAATAACTAAGTTTTTATAATATTTTTATAGTTGCATGGTCTTGTAGTTGTACGCTTATTTTCCATGCTCAAATTAATTTCTTATCTACTAGTCATAATTAAAAATTTTATTCGTCGAAATTTGAGGAAATGGGTCACATGTTTTAAATACAAACTTGTAATTTAAAATTATTGTTTATAATTATAATTTTATGATGAGACAGTTAACTAACGGTGCTGGTTGACATTTTTACGAATGGTTCACTTAACTAAGACACTATAAACTTTGATTTATATTCATGACATAATAAAGGTATTTAATTAATATTAATCTTAAGATAGTAGGGACTGACTTGCCTTTCTAATCTACTTGCCTTTTATGTAACTAATCCCTAGAAAGAGTTGGACATTCTACTGTATAAAATCAAATATTATATATTATCCTTTTCCGTAAATTATATATTTTATCAAATAACTTATTTCAGATAGATAGTTATACTCGTAAAGATGTTAAGTAACTTGTAAGTTTCAGCAATACATTTGTTATAGCAGAAGAGCATCAGAACATGCAATAGGTATTATAAAAGTAATTAGCCTAACATATCAATTACGTTATGAGATTACTATCTTTGTTGATAATTGATATGTTGCCTTTACTGTTGATATTCATTGAATGCAATAACTTGCATAATCTGCAAATAATAATTGGCAATATTAATGGGAATTGCCAGGCCTTGAAAATATAATACATAAAATTATTTATAGCAATTGCTTATTAGTTCCATGTAACACTTCATTTGAGTCATAAAATTACTATCTTTTATTTTTATAAACGAAGGTTACAAGCTAGCTATATTTTGGTGTTGATTAGGTAATTTTATTCGGGGTTCATTTGCTAAATTAGTTAAGCACACAATGGAAATCATAATATATTAACTTCAGCAAGCGATAACGCGCGGTTTGGTATCGACCTCTCGTTTTGATAGGAAAATTTTAATGCTCCATTTAGTTCACCTAACCCATTTACAATACAATCGCATTACTATTTTGATTGTAAATTTAGTATAAAATTTATTACCTGATTTTGAAGTACCATTTCACAAAACCAGTTAGTATCAAACATTAAACTTAATCGACAAATTAGCTCTAGCTTTAATCTAAACTTGTAAAATTCTGTGCTATCATAAAAAGTTGTTATGTACAAATTAAATACTATAATATAATTTTCAATAATTGTAGTATCTTCACAAATGCCTTACTCTGGTAAGGCATTTCTCCATCAATAATTATTAACAATAGTATTGTAAGGGTTAAAAAATCGGATGATTCTTTTTGAATCACCATTGATAGGTTGTATATAAAATGGACGTTGCCCTCAGCTCGAAAGATATCTAAGTATTTCTATCAAATTGTAACTTAAAATCATCATTCATCTCATTGTCAGTTGAAATGATCAAAATCTTTAACAATATACACTTACTGCAAAGTAAAATGTTATTTACTGTAATTGTGAAGCTGTTGAAATTAAACAATGCGTTAAAGTAATTATTAAATTACTATTGGTATATGTGGTTTAAAACTTTGAAAAATCTTGTAAATTTTAAGAGTTGTCATTTTTCACCCAACGGACACATTGAATTCTTGCACTGTAATTGTAAAAAATCTTGTTACAAAATAGACCCATGTAGAGTTGAGAAATTAAAAGTTAATAGAGTATTGTAGATTTTAACGTTTTACATTTTCGCTTTGTAGGTGTTATTTTGGTAATGCCAGTTTCTTTCTGATATTTTAATAAAGAGAAATGAAATGAGTATTATTTTTAGAGACAAATTATATCTTAATTAAGAAGTTGCGTGTTGGTATAACTTCATTTACTTAGACAATAAGGTTAAATGGATGTCTTAGTGCTTTGTGTAAATTTTTTTGAATAATATATGTGAAAAAATTTCAAGTGAGTGTTTTCTTTGAGTGTATTCTTTGAAAGGTATCGAATAATAAAAATCAATGTAGTGGACGATTGGTGACGTCGAGTACATAACCAGAAATAGAGACGAAATGTCATCTAGTTTGTTTGAAAACTATTCTGCCATATCATTAAGGTCACAACTGCGCTCCGATTGGCCAGCCCGAAATCATTAAATCGACCAGTTTAACTTGAACTTTCCTATAATGGACGAAAATTGAAAAATTACATAATTGCCGATGAAATGTGATTCCGTTTGTTTTGTAATTAGATGTTTTGCTGTTTTTCACACACCCCCCTAATGAAACAGCCCCCATTTATTACAATAAATACAGAATATTTTTGGAATATACGAAGACGTACAGACAGGTCAGTTGTTGGCGCTGTACTATTTCAGCTTTCTAATTTGTGGTTTCAGCGCAAACGACAGTTGATATTTAAAAGTGATATCAGTACCATTTGAGTGATGAGTTGCCAGCGATGGATGACCCTTATTTCGTCTTCATTTTTGGTTACATACTCGATGATTGTTGAGGACTAAATCTATGGTTGGGGATTAAAAATAAAGAACATTGTTAAAAAAGAATCTCGTTTTCATCATACACACTCCTTGGGACTTTCTGACTTGGTTGCTCAATCAAGATGACTTCTATCATTCCATCACATTTTGTGTTTTTTTACAGTTCTCAGAATATGAAAAAGCTGTCAAGCACTTAGAAAAGTACATTGAACAGCTTTTGCTTTTGGTAAAAATCGTTTTTATATTCGTTTTCTCGTTACCAAGTGATTGATTGGTCGATAAACTGTCTAACAAACGTTCAAAACAATTTGACGAAGACATGGGGCTGACGAGTAACACTGGTTTGTTAGCCAGTGTCTCCAAAACCAACACCCAAGGAAAGCGCAAAATTGTACAGGAGGTATGTACTTCATTAGTCCATTTATTAATTATTGGTTTGCAATAGGAATTACCTTAGCATTATCTTTCCACAAGATTAGGAAGCAATAAAACATAACATTGTACAAATAAACAAATGATAAAATCCGACTCGAAGGATCAGATATGTAAATTTGGTGATGGTTATAAATCTAATTTGTTACACTTAATTTATATTGGGGTGGAACGGAACGGAAGCGAATTTTTGTAACGATAATTTACATACTATAATGGACTTTATGGTCAATTGTGTAACGTATAAACCGGATACGAGTCAAAATCTTCTACGGAATGCCCGAGCATAAGCGAGTATCTAGTTTGTACGTTACATATTTGACCATAAAGTTCGTAAATTATCGTTACAAAACTTCGCTTCCATTCTGTTCCGCCGCAATTGTATTGAATTTCAAATACAAACTATATGGTGCATTTGTATTACGTACGTAAGTATATATTTTAATCTTCCAGCAAAATGTAGAACTGCGATGCGAAGTGACGCCTGCGCCGTTTATGTTACGACCCTATGCAGGATTATACAATCCCTTCTCAAATAACTGTTCAGTCCTCTGCAACCATCCTGCCGATACCGAAGTCAGAGTGCATATGAAACGAGTTAAGGATGCTTGGGTAAGAGACCATTTCTTTTTTATTCTTACAGTATGTTAAAAATTATAGACCCATTTCTATCTTATCTTGTTTTGCAAAGTTATTCGAGAAGCTTATATACCCTGTGGTATACAGTCACATCAATTCCTCGCTATCCGATTTTCAGCATGGTTTTAGAAGAGGTCGGTCTGTAGATAGTAATTTAGTTTCCTTTATATCTGAAATAGCTACTGAGCTCGACAGGGGATCACAAATTGATGTTGTTTATACAGATATGTCTAGGGCGTTTGACAAAGTAAATCATCTCATCTTACTATCGAAACTAAAAGCGTATGGCTTTGGAAATGTTTTATTAAACTGGTTTAAATCTTACCTTAATAATAGACCACAAATCGTTGTTGTCAATGGATCTCAATCTCAAATCTACCACGCTAAAAGTGGCATTCCTCAAGGTTCTCATTTAGGTCCCCTTCTATTTCTAATTTTTATTAACGACATAGTCTCACATGTAAAGCATAGTAAAATCTCACTTTTCGCAGATGACTTTAAAATTTACAAACCAATCTACGACCCAACCGACGTTATGATTCTCCAAAACGACCTAAATAAAATAACACAATGGTGTTTATCCAATGACATGGTCCTCAATCCTAGTAAATGTCAATACATATCGTTCACGAAAAAATTAAAACCAGTCGCATCTTCATATCGGTTGAATGGTGAACTATTGACTAAGGTCAATGAAGTTCGTGATTTAGGAGTCACCATAGACAATAAACTTAAATTTAATGTACATATTGATAAAATTATTAATAAGGCAGCAAGAACGTTGGGATTTATTAAACGAAACACACGAAATTTCAATCAACTCAATACGAAACTCATACTTTACAACAGTCTAGTTCGCTCTCAACTTGAATTTGCCTCCACAGTGTGGAATCCAATGTACGCTGACCCGTCTCAACGCATAGAAAACGTTCAACGTGCCTTTACAAGGCATATAGCTTTTATTTCACCCAACATATCGCATAGACGTCCTTATGACCAAAGAATGGAATTTTTTAAAATGTCTACATTACGAAATCGACGCGTTATAGCCGACTTGTCTTTTCTACATAAATTAGTAAATGGTGAAATATCATGCTCTGCTATACTTGAAAACGTAAAGCTCTCAGTACCATACAAATATCCAAGATCTCGTTTATCTAAACTTTTTAATGTTTCCCCATGCCGAACTAATTTAGGTTTCCATCATCCACTTTCAAGAATGTCTTCCCATTACAACCGTTTGTCTGCAGAACAACCAGAGCTGGATATTTTCAACGACCCCCTAAAAATGTTTAAAGCAAGAATAGCTGACAGTACTTCAAAGCCGCATTTTAATTTGTAACACCATATTCGTTAATCTGTATGTGTTTAAAGTTTTTTGATGTTTATTTTTGTTTTGTTTTAAAGAAAGTAACGATGTTTTGTTTTTTATATAATTTATAGTAAGTTCAATTAACATGTATACCCATTTATAGTTATGAACAAATTAAATCCTACAAAGTTGTGTGTACCAGTAATAGGCATATGTATAAGAACAATTCCTCTTACCATAAACTTTTTGTACAAAACTATATTTATGCTGTTGGTATACCTTTATAAATAAATAAATAAATAAATAAATACAGTACGATCCTACCTCCATGGCTTGCATACCAGCTTACATGATGTTGCCATCTCTGAGGTTCCGGGTATGATCCCCGGCCGGGTCAATGTACAGACTAACTTTTCTATATTGTCTCGGTTCTGGGTGTTTGTGGTACTGTCGTTGTTTACGATTTCCATAACACAAATGCTTTAAATACTTACTTGGGAGAACGTATGTGGTGTTGTCTAATATTTATTTATTATTATTAAGAACAAAAGTATAATTGTGTATAAAAATTCATAAATTGGAAATAGAATTTCTTGCTTTATTTATTCCGCAGAACATTCTCTATTAAATTGCCAATTCGCAGTCCTGTTTATGAGTAAATAGAAGTAATGGGTAATACTAGAATAGAATGTACAAAAACATACCATTACGAAGCGTTGTTAGAGTTTAACGCAACATTTTCACAGCACATAATCGTCTAAAATCTACACTGGCGTAACAAAACAAATTACCTCGCATGAAGTAATAAAAATTAAGTGGTAAGCTTCTAATTGCGTGTAATTTTCAGAACGATGGCAAAAATTTATGTGGTTTCTTCGAGGATCTTTCTAAATTGCCAAATGGTCAGGAGAAAATACGTACACCTCATGATATCGTCACTGAAGACATGTTTAGGAGGTAATAATAATAGTAATAATACGCACACTCTCAAAGCCTGAGTCGCAGGTGTCATGGACATACACATGTCAATATATAATTTAGAATTGGTTGCAGAAACTGGATTGAAGATAATAGATAGAAGAACTGAAAATCTTATTGCTGTTCTCATTTAATTCTCATTCGCGCTCTCACACTTGCATACATATACACGCTCGCGTTCGCGCATCGACGTACACTCAACTTACACACATTAACACGTACTTTTAGCATAATTAGATAGTATTTACAATGTTTATTGCTCAACAGTATATTGGTTTCTCTTAAGATTATTGACTTAACACTACTCTGAGAGTGTGAGGGCCTGGTGAACTGTAATACAGGTTTAGTTGCCCAGTACTATCTCCAGGCTCTCACAAGGGATACAACATTTAAAATTGTTAGTCTGTTATAAAATAAGTGTATATTTATTTCCTTGTGTTGAGAAAATAAACCATATTATTATTACTATTAATCACAAATTACCCCTAAACTCACGACAGCACTCAGCCCGGGAATCGAGCCCGGGACTTCTGCGTGGTCTTGGTAACCGTTCCGCCACGGAGACAGTTACTTAATGGACTTTATTAAAGTTAAATGGAAATGGAAAGACACTTTAAGCATATATATTATTACCAATTTAGAATGAACTCTCAATCTCTCTTGATGTAATGCCCTGTGGTATTTTCATTTTATTTCAATCATATTTTATGACTTGCTAGAAAATACTCTGACGTAAGCTGCGATACAAAAAGCCTATGAAGTCAGTGCCAAAATTAAAGCAGTTAATAAATTGAATAAAGTTTAAAATAAGATTATGTGACAATAAAAATATTTTTGCACACTCTTAAAAGTCATCAAAGGGTGTTTAAAGTTACAGAACGTGCGCAAATTTTGTCATCGACATTTTTATACTCTTACTCTGTACATTTATATTATTTTGCAATTAAAATTAAAACACATAATTCTAGATACACAGAGACGGACTCCAGACCCCTCACACCAGCTCCTACGTTGGCTAGTGGCAAATCACGAGGCTCCAGGCGATGTCTCACACCCGACCAGCCACACGTGAGGACCACTATCGTAGTTGACTTGAGAAGAAGTCACAGTCAGGTAAAATACCATTACAACATAATCGGTACATGTTCTTTGTTGATTATAGGTCTCTTATTTGTTATTGGCAAATTAATACTGAACACTCTTGGAAAAATTTGAGTAATTTTAGTTTGTCCTAACCTAACCTTGCCTTGTCCTAAGCTAACCTTGTGATACATTGTATGTTCATTGCCCGTAGTATAGGATATATTAATTATTTTAATTTGATAACGCTTAACTTTAAGTCTAATTTTCCACTAAGCGACCAGTAGCGGGCGGTTGGCTGCGCGAGATTCCTATTCGGAAGTATCCGCGACTCGGAAGTCGTCGCGACTGCATTTGTATGTAGTAGTGATGTAACGGACTACTGCTTCTGCTTCCGCAATTGCGGAAGTTCCGCACACTTTTTCACATCTGTTTCTGTTTTTGCTTCCGCAACTTTTGTAACGGAACTTTTATTGGAAGTTTATAACATGTTCGCCATGGATCAGGCGCAAGCGCGTATTGCTTGGCGATGGAGCGGTTTTGTGTTGTGTTAAGTGCAATTATGAAACCAAACTCAAGCCCTGTTTAGAACAATTTCGTTGAGATCTTGGCAGCGAAGAAATGCTGCCGCCGCGACGCCATGTGTAATTAGCCTTAATGTCAACAACAATGTGTAGCTACCATGAAAATTTAATTTCGTAGCTATAGAGTTCCTTGTTTGTAGCAGTAGAGCTCCTTGTTCGTAGCAGCAGAGCTCCTAGTTCGTAGCAATAGAGCTCTTTGTTCGTAGCAGTAGACCTCCTTGTTCGTAGCAGTGAAAGAGTTCGTCCAGAGCAGTACTGCCACCTACCTATTTCTGCTGCCAAATAATGCGAGCCACCTTTTTGTATCGCCTCTCTCCGCTTGTATCCTATAATTTTTTTATTTTACTTGTATTTAAATTTTAAATTTGAATTGTTCCATCTTCCTTCACTTTCTCATTTTGTTTTCGTACCACGGTCACTCCCTGCTCGACCGCCACAACAGTCGGAGCTGTTTTCAAATTCCATCGCGTGCAATCGCTAATTTTGGTTCTGTACTACGTTTATAATCATTAAATAAGCTAAATCATGTGTAATAATTTATAAGTCTACAGCCTTCATGTACCTATATCTGTAATTCGTTACTCGGCCCATTTAGGGGTAAGTGCCTTTATTAAAGTGTAGGGAGTGTTTTATACTGTTGTACCTGTTTTTTTTACACATTTATCTTTTATTGTTATAGCTCTTTCTTTTAACTTTACTTCTTTAATAAATTTTGTGGACCGGAACCGTGAACCGGACGTGAACCTGTTCACGGCTAGTTAGGGTTACAACCCTTTCAAAGTATCATAAAACCACACCACAAACCAGTTTGTAGACTGACGCGGATCTTCCGTCGTGTCTCGATCTTTTATTTCATGAACATAATGTAATAACTTTTTCGGCGCGCCTCAAGTCGATTCCGCTTTAATAAGTGTTATGGACTGCCTTACTGAACCGTGCTCCTATGAGCCTTTATATTTTCATTATTGTATTTTTCAGGAAACCCTTTACTACCACGGTTACACTACATCCGACATGACTGTGGGGAATACAACGATTGCCACCAACGAACGGTCTACCCTACCATCGTTACATCTATCCGAAGGCACGCACAACCGCCTAATTAAAGGCCAATGCCAGCAGCTTCCTCCTTTGGCCTCGCCACTTGTATTATCTAAGAGAAATATTCCTGTCAAGGAGCCGCTTAGCGTACGAGCTGGTAAAAAGGTAATTTTACACTGCATTATCCACAGATTAAAAATCGAGTATTCTACTGCCGCTGTTAGTTGAAAATTAAATTAAAAATTTTATCTACTTTTCTCTTCTAGGAAAAAATATAAATAGTCACTGTTCGGCCTTTTTTGCTGATCACGACAGTATATATCGGCCATTCTCACATTCGGTGTTCTCAACCTAATTACCGTGTTCATGTTTGAACTTTCTAATTACCATATCCCGGTAATTAGACCTAATTACCGTTTCCATGAAATATTTGTTTCTTAATAACTCGAAAACTACTTTGTCTATTCTAATGCCATTTAGACATATTGATAGTTAATATTAAAGTTGTTCCTATTTCAATGTTATTGGGTTTAGTAAGCGAGAAAAAACGATGGCTACGGTAATTTGGCTGAGAACACCGAATGTGAGAATGGCCGACATAACTTTTTTTTAATGTCACATGCGCCCTTTCAACTAACGCCCCGGCAGTAGGTATATATTTTAATGATGATGATTACATTAGAATGATGTAATAAGGCCACGTCGATTATTCCAACGAATTTGATCGATAACTTTTTACGGTTAAATGGGAGAGTTGAGTCGTTTCATGAAGTTCGTAATATTTTTATGACTTTCATGTGATAAAAGCGCTTCCAGCTTGCGATCACATTATGTAGTTTTAATATACCAAGTGTACGATATATTCTTTGGTTGTACCCCATTTGCATTACAAATATTATCATAATAATAGTAGGAATCAGGTTCATGTTGTTCTTTTTCTTGACACTTATTATTGTATACTCCCGGACACATAATTCGAGCCACCTTGCATTTTCAATATTAAATGCTTAGCTTAAACAATGCTTGATTGCTCAAAAATGCTATTATGCAACTTTGAAACTGGTATATATTAAACGTCACTTTCTGAAGTCCTTATTGAAAATTTGAATTCAAAAACCGGAGAAAACTTTTTCTTCGATGATAACAATATTTGTATATTCTAGCCGTTTAAAGATAAAAATCCAAGGTGCCAATGATGTGTCTGGGAGGTAATAACAATGACTATTGGTTTCAAGATTTTTTTTATTCATCCCGCGCTAGGGTAACCCAGTGTTGTGATCCCTCACAAAGAGGGAGGGAGAGAGAGAGGACAATCTTAAATTACACCCAAACTCACGAGAGAGAACCCGGGACCTCTGTGGAAAAGTTAAAATTATCAGACTTGAGATCCTGGAAGGTGCCGAGGAGTCCCATGCACCGTGGTCATCAGGGTCACCTTCGTACCATGGTGGTGTAAGGTTGATATTACACTCATTTCACGGTTTTTTAACGGGACGGACGTGTTTCGTATTTACTTTGTATTTTTTTATTTGTTTATGTATTCTTTCCCATTACCACTTTGCGGGTGCAGTTTTACAATTTAGTCACTCTCGGCCCCTCTCGTTTTATCTTACGCGGAGTTTGCCTTGGCGAGGACACCATTGTCTATCGCTGCTGCCTCGGTTGCGGTTGCGAGTGGATGCGTGTCGGGGGTCGGATCCTCTCTTATAATCTTGCGCTGGTGACTGTTGGGCTTTGCCTCCATGTTGTGCGCGTCTATTTAGCTCACGCCTGTGGTGCGTTTGACGCCGCTGCTGTGGCCTGTCGCCGCGCGAACGGATTTCTGCTGCCGGAGCGCCACTGTCGTGCGACTTGCTGGGGGAATTATATCGGTGGGCTACGCCTCGGGTGAATTGAGTGAGTTTTTGAATTCTTTACCGGGTATTGGATTTGAATCCATGACCGGCGACGCGCGAGTCCGCTGTGTGGGCCGTTCAACCACGAAAGTCGAAACTGCCGTGGCGAAATAACTCCCGTAGCACTGTACGACTCAATTGACGTCACACGTCTACGCTGTGCTACAATTTCCGATACTACGCTATTTCCGACGTCACTTGGCGTGACTTCTACGCTCGCAATTTTTACGACAAACAAACTTAAATGATGCCCAGAGTACAATGCTCGCCACCAAATACTCCTATAGGCGACGGTAACCAATCAGCTGTGTTTGTCAACTCGAATGCGCGTAATAAAAATAAAATGGCCACTTCTACAACTAAAGATTCAAAACGCGAGCAATTATTACCTATTCTGGTAGCGATTGAGGACCGCAGGGACATGAATGAGAGCTTCAATACGCAGCAAGATACCTTCGATCAATTCAAAATTGCTTTGTCGCAACCGCTTGAGAAAAATTGTGAAAAATTGTGAGGCATCTTAAACTGACTCCATACGTGCGTCTTTATGCTATATCACACTATTTCATTACTACTTTGCTTGTACCAAGACGTGCCTGGATTTCAGAAGAGGGTTTAACAGTGGCGCGTCTGGTGACTGCTACAAAGAGAACGTCTAATAAAACATTGAAAATGAAACTATTATTTCGTATCTTATATCGCGTATTTCTTTTTTCAAATAACCCGACGTTTAGGGCACTTTGAAGATTTCGTGGTAACGGCTAAAGGAGTTAGTAAAGTCATCAATCAGTTATGTAAAGTAAGTCAGTTATGTACTTTTCGCTTTAATTACATAGTTAATTACTTTATCGTCTCCGTAAGCCGTGGCCACAAGACCTGTAAAAAAGTTCCGAAGCGGATGGAGTGTTTCAAAAACCAAACACTCTATAATCTTTCTAATTTGTGAGTTAAATCAACTATTGTTCCGATTAGGAATGTCAAACGTTTCCGATCAGCCAGTTGTTAATCGCTTATCGCAATTATGCGCCTCGACTCGGAAAAGACGCAGTTTCCGTTCTTTCCGAGGCAATCAAAATCAAGCTGCAGGGTTCCGCTTGAGTAGTGCCCCGCATGGGGCTCCGAGGGGAATATCTCGGTTAACCGGATCGGGCGAGATCTCTCTCTCTCTCTCTCTCTCTCACTGGCAGCAGTAGTAGCGGCTACTCTAGCGTATCAAGAGTCATACGACGCAGTGGTTTCCTTCTGTGAAGCGGTGATGCTCCAAAAGGAAGGCGCCTATAGAGATCGGGAAATTACCGACCCGTCTTGGCGGCGGCGTATCTTTACGAATGCGGGCGCTTGAGGCGGGGGCTACGGGGTTATGTGGCACGTTTCATTGTGAAACCGGGGACAGCATCGTTCCTCCGAGGAGCTGGGGAGTTCCGGTGGAGTAGGCCACTATGGGGTTCTAGCCGGTACTAGGCGTAGCCTTCCTGCTGCCCCTGCGGCAGTGGAGGATCTAGGAGGATTTCTGGGGAGGAAGACGAGAAAGCAAGATGCAGGACCAGGATTGCATTTGAATTATTATGCATAATTAAACTCGTGCGTGGTACCTCCGTCCTATCACTGATTACACATTCTTATCTCCTTCAATGACACATGTAGTATCGCCTACGAATATCTAATTGAAACTTGTCAGTGCGTAATTACCATTGTTGTAATGGTTGTAATATCACGTAAAGAAAAAACGAGCCCGTAACCATAAAGGATAGATAATAGAACGTATTGTTCGCTCCTTTTAGTCCAATCAAAGTATTGCTTTTGACAGTCGTATGAAATATACGTTTGTTTTAGTGTTAGAGGGTGGAAAAAAATAAAGGAATTTAGTTCCACATAATAATGTACTATTTTTTTTGTTCCATTTTCTATTTGAGGGCTGTAGGATCAAAACTAAGTAACATTAATATAAAGTAATGGCACCAGCAGGAAATTTGCACCAAGGCCCGCAAATTTTCTGATAAAATATATTGTCCACATTATGAGGTATAATTTTTACGGTGCAAATTTTCAAAGGTCATGACCCCAACAAAGTATAAAAACAATGTCCACGGCCATCCCAAGGCGTACAGAAATGACATATACCTAGCTAGATTTATAGAAAAATATATGTACTTTACTGTGGGTACAGGGTATTCTGGAAAAAAGATATCTTTTTTTATATAAAGCATGTATGTAGTGCAAAATACTTGTGTGTTTTGTTTTTATTGTTAATCAATCACCCAGAGAACGATTTCGTTTTTATTCCTACTACAACGGACCGCGCAGAGTTCGTGCACGAGTGTGACGATATTTACTATGATAGAAAATCTGACAATAACCTCATCAGGTTTTCATACAATTAAAAATATGTTTAATTTCAAATCTTTATTACCGTATTACATGTTAACCCCGTACATTTTCAATATTTTTTACATAAAATTGAAAGTGGTATCCAGTAGCATAATTTAGAACTAATGTGGTTTTTGCGGGCCAGATTATGGGCCATGGGTCTTTTCTTTCTCAATAAATTTTGTTTGTTTTTATCACAAAATCACCAATTTTTGTTATGTTTTCATTCATGAATATTTGTAATCCCTTGTGACTTTATTGGCTGTATTAAAAAAAAGCTGATAACCGTATCAGCTTTTTATGACAATAATCTCCGATTTACCGAGATCGAGGATTATTGGGGTTTTATGTTATCTATATTTGTCTACCATAATCCCCGGAGTTAAATTTTATGCAAGCTTCTTCATTACAACATTTAGAGTTTTCCTAGGATTCTTTGTATTGTGATACTAACTTTTCAATGGTTTAAATTTAATTTTAGCTACAGGGCTTGAATATCGCTGTAAAATTACCTGCTTATCGGTATTCTACAGATGTATAACAGAGAATGTGCGATAGAATTTCACGATTTAATTCGCCCCTCCGCTTTCTATCATCGGTGGACTGGACGCAGGCTGGGGTTCCACCCCTATGTTGTTACTAAGAATTCACACGAAGCGTTTGGCTTCTAAATGGAATTCCCTGCTTGTAGACTTATTCCCCGAACAGGGCGAAAGTGAATAGCCATTATTTATTACGTCTAGTCATTTACTGCGTCCAGCGATACCGACAACGTTTATTATACGTTGCACGGCTTCATTACCCAACAAAGTCTGCGAATATTGTGGAGTAGCGTGAGAGTGAAAGCCTGAGAGTCAAGCATTTGGGGTCCCGCCACAATATGAATTTTAATTCATCTATAGT